AAGGTTCCCAACCCCGCAGCCCCTCAGGTCTCTAACACAAGAGTTCGCGAATGAGTAGGTTGCGAAAATGGGAACTAGGTGTGACTGCCCCTCATACTTTTTTGGGGGGGGATTTGGGGGATTATGCGGATTTGGTATCGCAGTGTGAGAGTGCCCTGAGTCTCGTTCTGCACCACTTGACAATTTAGAATTTTCAAGGAAGCACCGTTCCACCCCTCCCTAACGACGAAATCGATACCCAAAATGTTTTCACATTTGTGTTTTCAAGGGTCCGCCCTTGAAAAAGAACTCCTGCCCGGGCAAAAGGAAGATTTTCGTAGGGCGTGCCCCGAAGGTCACTTTGAGGCAAAAGGTTTCTCACTACGAGCCGCGTGGATTGCGGATGAAATAATTTTTTTAATTTGTCTTTTGGTGTTCGGACCCTGCGCCTGGTTCAAAGCGGTGCAGTACTCGATCAGGAGTGAGCGTGGTATCGGGCACCGCCAGCACGGTTACCGTTGAACCGGAGCCTCGCGACCGTTGGTGCCCCGTCGTGACCGTTGGATGTGAATCCCTGCGCGAACACGGTGTTGAGGCGGGTGGTCGTTGGCGCGAGGTTGAATTCCAATGAAGGCCCCAAAGGCGCATGCCCGCTGCCGCCATGGTTGTCGTTATCGCCTGGTTGTCGAGCGGCTTCACGACGGCTCGTAGTGCGACAAGTGACTACATAATAGATGTCATTACAGCGCACTTGTCATCTTCGCAGAAACTCTTCTTTTCATCTTTCCTTGTCTGGCAGGCACGCCTGTGCTGTCGTCATCCTGCTGCAAGTCCTGCAAATAGCCAGGTGCAGCAGACGGTCACCACGCAAGAAGGGCTGCAAAAAACGGGTGAGGGGAGTGTCGTTGTCGAAGGGTATGGGGAACCCTTGCCGAGGCATGCAACAGATGTATGACATGGATATGGGGGGGAGGGGAGGGGGCGCACATGAGCAGCACCACCGAATTGACACTCGTCTCCCTCTGTGAATGCAGCCCCTGCCTGATGACGAGACCTAGGAGCCTCCTCCGTCCACCCTGCTTCTTCCATTGAGTTCTACACAGGCGTCATACGACAGCCTCGCAGCGGACGAACGTCGACCCGCAGGGTTGGGCAGCATGTCCGCTCTCCTAGTTGGGGGTCATGAGAGGTCTGGGCCGCAGATGGAGCTGCACTTGTCCCTTAGTTGCACGATGGACATCTCGCGGACTGTCCTTGTGGATCCCAACAGCCGGTACGTGGGGGACATGTCCATGAGCACGTGTGGGTATGGAGGCGATAGGGGTCAACGTTCAGTGCAGACACCCATCATTCCATTAACGACCAGACAAGCTCGCAGGGCCGGCCGCAGAGTGCACGTCTTCTCGTCCGGCAGTCGGCGATGCCTTGGGAAAGGGAATCATGTCCCAACATCTGATCCGATCAGTGTCGCCGCACTGCATTGAGCGCATAATTGTATGTGTGTCAACGATGCGAGCTAGCAACGACGGGGAAGGGGGGGGGGTCAGTTGCGATGGGGATGACGCGGGTGACGCTCACGACGTCGAAGACGAAGAAGCCAATTGTGAGGACAATCAACCGCCTGCGAAACACGCCGCCGCCCAGCGTGGCAAGAAGAAGACGGTGGGGAAAAGCAGAAGCAAATCGAAGGTGAAGGACAACTCGGCGGACGATGATGAATAAGGAGGAGACGGCTGGGGGGGGGGGGGGGGGAGGTCGCTTGTTCGATGCAAGAGGGACCAGGAGGATTGGCTGTCGAACATGGGCCACAACTTCGCAAGGATGCACACGAAGAAGTGGAAGTGGACGGACGCGTGTGACGCCCAACCTCACGCCCAACACGACTTCCTGATCGGAGTGGGATGGGGGCCCGGAAATGCGAAAAAGGGGTGTGCCAAGGATTTTAGGAAAGTGGGGGTGGAGTCCTAGGTCGGAACTGAGATCACCAGTGGCAAGTTTAGGGGCAATGATGCGAGATGGTACGTGAAGATCGTATCTGGGATTATCGTCTCTGCCAGTTGCGTCGCTGTGGTCGGTTCCTCATCTGGTGAACCTGTGGGTCGTGGTGGTTGTCGTGCGGTTCGACCAGTTGTCGGCGCCGCTCGACTCCGGTTCGGGTTTGCCGGGTAATTTATGAATTTCGATATGCCTGGTGCCGCTGGCACTTTTCGCACGGTGTGCGGGGCCAATAGCAGGCTATGGAATTCCACGGAACCACTGTGAGTTGGTGATATGGAAGAATGAGGTGGAAGGGAGGAAAATTGGTACTAATAACAACGAAGCCCGGGGATATGGAATATTGAGTGTTGTTAGTCTTCGGATAGTCTGGTCCCCTAGGATAGTTAGTTATGGCCCAGTGGAAGTCTCTCCCGCACAATCGGTCGTTCTCCGTCAGACAGGGAAATTTTGAGTGTCTCAAGTTTCCCCGTCGTCTGAGAGGTTCACTCTCCCAATATTCTCGGTATTCCGAGTCCGGGTCCCTCAGGTTCCCACAATCTGTGATCCAAAAGGGAATTTCTACTCCCATATCCAACCAGTGAACTCAGTCTCCCGCATCCTTATGAATCGAGCTCGACTCATGTAGACGCGCGTGCACTTTGCGACTCGGTTCTCTCGAGATCACGGTCGTACGCGAGCGTGCACATGAGCGAAAAGGGATCAGATTCGGGTTTCTCGGATCGGTGTATCCAGTGTGTCCTACATGCATGCATCTATTCTACCCATGTTATCTCAGGTGAGATCCAGTCATTTCATTCACATCCATGCCATTCAGGTGACGAAGGAAAAGAAAAGGGGAGGAGGAGGAATCACCGCATTCTCATTGATCTAATGACGATCAGAGGTTAACAACAAAACCCAAACATTCGTTTTCAATCAGACCCAGGATTATTGCTCAACGCTGATGAATACTAGAAAGTGACAAATAATGAAGCATGCATCATAGAACAAGAGGAGAGAGAAATCCGAGAAGATCACAAAAGAAAGGGGTTCACATCCATTCCACGCATACACACGAAGCAAAACGACAAAGAAAATCCGAAATGATTTACAAAGAAAGTCCGAGAGGGCCGCAAAAAGATCGGCCAAAGTGGAAATCAAAATTATACAAATAAATGGAAGAAGAGACCTCATCCCACACGCAGTTGCTCTCTCTTTCTCTCTTTACACTTCCCCGATGCGGGCAGTCAGTCGCCGAGCACCAACACAGAGTTGTCATCCCGCTTGGTTCGAGCATGCAAGCCAGGTTCGCCCGTGCACCACAGTACGTCGCGGCCCGCATACCCGACACCAGCTCGTCGGATCGCCCAACTCTCTCGTTGACTCACCTCTCAAGCTGACTCGTTAGCCGACCCTCACTGATCGCGCTAACTCCAAAGTTCATAGAGAGCAAACTAATCGCGCTTGCGAAATTTATAGCATGCACGCTTGCGCAAAAGATACGGGATTAAGCCCAAGTGGTCAGAAGGAAAAAAGAGGAAGTACCGACGTCTGCATGGCCAGGTCCCGGCGTGGGGGCCGTAGCCGCACTCCACGCATCGATCTGGTCATGCAGGCGTTCAGGCCAATTATAACAGAGCATTAAGCATGCAAGACAAATAAGAAGAAGGCAGGCAAACACGGGGAAACCACGAAAGAAGAAAGATACAGTTACAGGCGCGCGCCAAAAACGACAGTTACACAAGATTAAGGGCGAGACCCAGTCAGAGCCCAGTTCCTAGCGCCGCAAGATGTGCGCGAGTAAGAAGCGCGGCGTAACAAAATTCAGAGTACCTAAATTCCTAACCTGAGTCCTAATTGCGAAAAGGAAATTCTGAAGAGTTCAAAAATAATTCCGCGAACCCGTGGGAGCTCGGCATCAGTTGAAAATTCAAAAACGATATTCCCGCACGGTGATTGCGCCAAATATTCTTAGTGCTCCCATCAGAACAAGAAAGAAGTCATGGCAACCGTTGTCCATCGCGCTCGCTAAGGCGCGATTACCCAATCGTTGGTGCGAGACTTTCCCGACACCGCCCCGATAAATTTCCACAAAAAACAAAAAGAAACGAGGGCATCCATGCAATTTGCCCGCCCGACCCATCTTTCCACAACTTCACTTATCCGACCCATCCGTTTCTCCCAAGGCAGCTTCACGCAGAAAGTCGCACAATCACAGAAAATGGTTCGTCACACGCGTCCAAAAGGATGGTGTTGCATGGGTTACGAGGGATTGGGATTCCTGTATGAAACGGTGGGATAGCATTATCGGGTCGTACAAAAAAAATCTTGAGAGACAAAAAAAATCCGATTTGGGAATGCAATCGTTTTTCACTATCACGGGGAAGCAGCGCAAGGAGAAGGGATACAAGTTCAATATGAACGTGCGTTTGTATGACACCATCATCCATATGATGCAGCAAGGGAACCAGGTCATCCATCCATCGAATCTGGCCAACATTGGAGGGCGACAAGGGTAGTAGTTGCAAGCGCGGGACGATGGATAAGCAGGCAGTACCGGGGGAGTGGGGGAAACATCGAGGAGCAAGAATATGGATGGGGAGGGGGGAGACGGCTATGCCAACAGATCATCGGGCAGTGCAACAAGAGGGAAAAGAAAGAACGCGAGGCTGAGGCCATGATGAGGGTGATGACGAGCCACTCGAGACCGCTGGCCCAGTCGGTGGATCGTGCAAGCAAGCGACAATGTGAGGTCTTCCAACAGCAATGTGATATCATGGAGAGGGAAGTGAAGACACAAGAGAGTGCGATGTTCTTGACGCCGGTCAGAGGATACTCTGCGAGTCTTTGCTGAAAATCACATCAGCGTTATCAGGATCTTGATTGCTATCGTATTCAAGGCCATGAGTGGGGAGGAGGAATCTCCCGGTGGGGTTTTCATTGCATGCATTGGTCGTGCATGGAAGCATACTTGTCGTTGTATTTTAATAATGTTTTATTTTGCTTTGTTGTCCATGTTTGCGTCAGTTTGGGGACTTGCATGTACTTGTGGTTTTGTTTTACTTTCTTTCCACGTCATGTTTTTTTTTGTTTTTTCCTTATTCGATTTATGTCGATGTCTCCTGCGATCCTCGGTCGAGGACCGTTCCTAGTGGACTGGTTACAACCTTGGTGTGTACAATAGCATCAAGTGACAATTGAAGTACCATTACCCAGAACGTGTTTTCCAGCTCTACCCTACAAAACTCCCTCCATTTTAGCCTCGTCATCCAAGGTTTAAAATGAATGTGGAGTCTTTCGTCGACCCCTGCTCCTCGTCGGCTGCCTCCCCTCCACCCTCACTAGCCATGGTCTCCCCTCCAGCCCCCGCGCCTGCCGGCATCTGAACCTCCCCGACCGCCCCCGTGTCTGCCAAATTCTTCAGGTGGATCGTATGATCCCCCTTCGTCATGGCCTCCATCTCGTCGTACACGCTCCGGTCCATCATGACGAAGTTGAAGCCCTCCGATCGCCTGGCCTTTGATGCAAGCTTGAAGTAGTCCTTCCCGCCGGAGAGGTTTTGGAACTTGTGGACCTTCTTGAATTGCTGCATCAAGTTGTCCCATTTCTTCCCGCAGTCGACGCCCTCCCTCGTGATGTCCATCGTTTGCAACCTCACCTGCACGTCCTCCCATTTCCACTCCCTCGTTTTTATGCGGGCAAAACTGGTGCCCATGCCGGTGATATACATATATTGAACCCTTTTTGCCCTGACGAGTGCGATCGTGTCACCCACCGACCATAAATTCCGGTCGTCCTCGCCATCGCTTCGGCCGGTGTCGTCATCCATTTTCTTATTCCGTCGATTTTTCGGAGCGGGACCCCTCTTCGCACTCGCACTACCGTTCGTCACCTTCCTCCCAAGTGGCCTGATGTCTGGCAAATCGTCGGAGTTGCAATCGTCGTCGCCGTCAACGTCGTCACAACCCAGGAGCTCATCGAAAGCCGTTTCATCGCCTTCGTCCACGTGGAGCTGTTGCACCCCTCTCGTGATTGTCTCCTTTCACCTTGATTCAAGGCCTGCCTGCACTCTGCCCACAACTGTCTGCCGTCACGTTGCACGTCCGCACCTCCCTCACGCGAATCCTCCGGTCGTTACCGTCCTCGAGGAGTCCCAGATCCGCGTCGCGACACAGGTGACAAGCGCATCCACTCCGGACGTTCATCCGCACCGTGTCCTCCTCCGACGTTCGTCGACAACACATTTCGATCCCCCCCACCTTCGCGGAGCGATTGAGGTACACCACCGTCTCGCGCCCTGCGCAGACCAACGTGCGTGTTGTCCGCGCAATCCCCATCTGGGTGGGGATTGATGATCCGAGTGCGCGTTGCCGTTGCTCCGCTGCTGCTGAGCAATTGGAAGCTGAGATCAACCGCTGCATTGCCATCGTCGTCGCACAACCCCTCGTTCAGCAGTGAGGTGTAAGACCACGGGGTCTCCGCCCGCCTGTCAACATACTATTGCGTCGCGGCCCATTCCTGCGTGGAACCACTTCCCAACGGCAAAGTCGACGACCTGACGTCTTCCCCCTCGTCATCCGACGACGACAAGGGAATCTCGTGGGAAGGCAGGTGAGCATACAACCTCGGGTCGTACGGCTGCTTCGCCACATATCCCGCAATGCGTTGCCAATTGCTCGCTCCGGAGGTTGTGGTTGCCGGTTTGCCGTTGGCCAGTCGTCGATCCATCCTGTCGGCTTTCTTCGAAGATCTCCTTCTGCGAGCCGCGCCCGGGACGAGGCCGATGAAACACATGTGGAAGAAGACAACGATGAGAAGCAACACGACGACGAGGAGCAGCAGAGGCAGCCTGTGCAGCAGGTCGGCCATGTAAGGCCCGTTGAAAGGGCAACAAGCCGACGTCAGCGGTCGACCGTCCAACGAACAAGCCCGTCGACAGAAGAAAGATCGGTGGAAGATTTGTGCACCAACGTGCGAGGCGTGACGACAAACGAAGAAAACGACGAACTTCTGCAATCAAACTGTTGTCGTCGAAAGCAGCGGCGGCTGAGAAAAGCATTCGAATTGCGGACCGTTGTCGACGATCGCCCGCCGCAGCAGACCGCAGGGCGCCAGCCGGCAAATCGCGTAGACGGACGGAGGCCTCGCACGGACGGTGACCGTTTGGAGCCGTTGGGGCGCCGTGCACATTTTGGAGGCAGGGATGTCCGTGCTCCCGTTCGCTGGACTACGTTTGGACCAACCTCGAACTGAAATTGTGCGTCGACGCATGCCTTCGCCGCTCCGAATTTCGCGCTTCCTTGTGCTCCAAGGGACCTCGGGGGGTCCCTTGGGGGTTAGGAAAAAATGGCTCTGGCCACAAGGACGCCACAAGGAAATTTCCTTATGGTGTTTTTACATTTTTTTTCGAGAATCGTCCCCAAGGACAGGTGGAACGGTCATTTCCTTGTGGATTTCGGGTCCACAAGGAGTGTCTAACGAGGCCCATAGTTCGAAGAAGAAAAATAGTAGTCCGCCAAAAAACTTTTGAGTGAATTTTACAAGCCAGCGACAATCAACAGAACCAACTTCCCTTCAACCCCCTACTCTTCTTCATCCTTCGACGAGCTGACCTCCTCCACCACATAGCTCGTGGGATGAGAAAAGCAGCCACAACCACACACCTTCCTCAACACATTCCTCCTCTTACGACGAGCCGGACTCCTCCACCCATATACATTGTGTTCGTCGAAGACGGTAGTCCAAAAACTTGGACCAGTACCCCATAGGGGTATATGGGAAAAATCGTAGGTCCACCCTACAGGAGGATTGTTTTGACAGTCAGAGGGCCACTCCCTTCTACCCATATCTTTTAGAGTTATTTTTGCATTATTCTCATCTTTCGGGGGTATATGGCATATTTCTACTTTCTTATGTTGTCTATTTTTGTCAGGCGTGTTCGTGTTGACGTCAACAAGAGCGAGGCCGAAGGCTGGATAACAGTGCCCCGAACGCGGTCGAACTCGATCCATCCAGCGCGCTGAACCTGGCCCGAATCAAGGTCATCTTCGTCGTCACCAAACTGGCCACCGAGAACATCAGGTTCAGACACACCCACACACACACTGGCCACAGATCGCCCGGGAGCATGGGGTGCGCGACGCCCACGACTGTTTGGCGATCGCGTAGGCATGCAGGCATGCAGGCGATCGCGTAGGCATGCAGGCATGCAGGCGATCGCGTAGGCATGCAGGCATGCAGGCATTCGGAAGGTAGGGATTGTCACGGCGGCGTGAAAAGTCGGTCGACAGCCAGGCGACGTTGCACATCGCCTGAAAAGCGGGAAGGCAATCGAGCAGGCAGTGTGCGGCAGTGTGTGACAAGCAGCGTCGTCACAAGACGGACAACCAGGCATGCCGGGAGTTTGACAGGCAGGACACGTGGAGGGAGAAGTTTACAAGCAAGCAGTGTGACAGGAAGCGTGGCGGGCAGACAGGGAGGGAAGGGGAACGGTCAGATTGCGCGGCAATAAGCGTGGCAACACGACAAGCGCGCAGCGAGACGGACAGGGCGTGGGCGTACGAGCAGCAGTCGTGAGAAGAAGTGTTGCAGGCGGGCAGATACGGAAGAAGAAGCGTTATGGGGATTTTGGCAAGCAAGCCGGGAGGCAGACAAGCTGGGAGCTTGACTGCAAGTCAGTGAATGGGGTGTGACAGCAAGCGTGGCGAGCAGGGCGTGTGACAGGGAATCAGTGTGACAAGGAGGGTCACAGGATACGGAAGGAAGCRTTATGGGGATCTTGGCAAGCAAGSCGGGAGGCAGACGAGTGGGGAGCTTGACTGCAAGTCAGTGAATGGGGTGTGACAGCAAGCGCGGCGAGCAGGGCGTGTGACAGGGAATCAGTGTGACAAGGAGGGTCACAGGATACGGAAGGAAGCGTTATGGGGATCTTGGCAAGCAAGGCGGGAGGTAGACGAGTCGGGAGCTTGACTGCAAGTCAGTGAGGCCGCAAGCAGCCAGTGGATTGGACCACGCATACGATGGTGTGAGCGGTGGCGGTAGTACACGCACTCTCGGATACTAGAAGACTAAACCCGTTCTCCTCTAGACTGCCTTTGACAGAAGCTATGCACCCACCAGTGAATGCCCGGGCATTGCAGAGAGGGCGACAGGGACTGGTTGTGACCGAGAGGAGCTCGGCAGGCAGGCGGGTAGGCAGGGAGTGTGATCCGCTGTGTGGCAATCAGCCAGCTGCGAGCCAGGACATCAGTTGGCAAGGGAGGGAAGCAGTGTGATAAGGTGATAATCGGGGGAGGGGATGGGAGGGAGGGGCGTGACAAGCGGATGGGCACAGGGAGTGTGACAAGAAGGTCGAGTGTGAGGGAGGCAGGCAGGGTGGCAACGCAGCCACAATCTTGGGGACAAGATCGCTTCCACATCTTCACTGGACCTCTACTTTCACGATCCAATCGCCATTCCTTGGATCCAATCAGTGAGCTTGATTACAGAGGAGGAAGGCGCCATGGCTACGTGTTCTATCGCCGGCAGCTGCACGTGCTTCTCCGCCTTGATTGGTAATAGGAGACGATACATAACACTGGTTCTCATCGGTCTCGACAACGCGGGGAAAACCACATTGCTAAGCAACATCAGGCATGTATAGCTGACTAACTAGGATTAAAGTGATTATCATACACAGTAAGTATATCTATCCATATCTATCCATATCTATCTATCTATCTATCTATCTATCTATCTATCTATCTATCTATCTATATATCTATATATCCCCATCTCTGTAGATATCTACATCTATATCTTCTCTCTCTCTCTCTCTCTCCCTATATATATCTATGTATATAGCTATATATGTTTGTGACAATATATATATGTTGTCAGGTTTGAATGAGGGGAGTTGAGGCGGATCCTAGTGGGCGTTAAATGGGGTGCAAGACGTTCAGCTTTAGACTATTGTGAGTATGTCTTAGGCATTGATGCAGACGTCATCTTCTTACATCGACTTCGTATAGTGCAAACATTAGTTCCGATCAGTACTTTTGCGCCGTGCACTCGGGTATAGACAGTCATCATGTACGTACACTTGAGCAGCATGTGTCTATCTCTAGCTATGTCTTACACCTACATCTATATCTATATATTAATCTATATCTATATCTATATCTATATCTATATATAGATATCCGTCACACAATCCGTGCATATATATCTATATTTATCTGTCTATATGATATCTCTCTATTCTTGACGACGCAGTGTATCTCTAAGTTTATCTACATGTATCTCTATCTCTGGGCCAGCACTTCTAGACAAGGTATTGTCAAAAAAAAAAAATAAAAAAAAATGCCGTGCTTTGGATGGATTCTGATAAATAACCGCTGCAAGATACAAAAGAAGGGGTTCTTGCTGTCAAGGATGCAGCCCCTTCTGTACCATACCTTGTGCCCCCTCCCACTCCATGCGTTTATTTTTTTATCTATAGCTTCTGCAGTCAACTTTTGTCTGTGAATGCCACGTGTGCCTCTTGTTTGATCAAACACGTGGCATTCACAGACAAAAGTTGACTGCCGAAGCTATACATAAAAACATAAATGCCACGTGGTTGATCAGTGTAAAGTGAATATAAGAGAGGTCGCAATTGAGAACTATTGGATTGGTAATCGATTATGGGCGTCGCTCCACTACTCGCGACATGCACAAAAGACAAAAATCATGGCCGTGTATGGTTCCATGTTCTAGCGGAAGATTCACTCTCGTTTTGCACATTTCGAGAGTAGTGGAGCGAGGGCCTATGAGAGTGAGAAGGAGATTGTGTCCTTCGGGACATCCGTTAAAAGGATTGGAAGGATACAGAGAACCTGGACAAGATTAGCAAAATGGCCCCTGCTGCGCAAGTAAGGATGACACGCATAAATCGAGAAGGGGATTGTTTGTCTGGGGTAGCTGAAGTGTCTGGGGATACCTTTCTCGGCCTTTTGGCTAAGTAAGATCAAGTGTAGTATCTGTTCTTCTGATCAGTTTAATATCTGATCCGTGGTCCATCGGGCCACGATGATTTTTTTAATTAATTTTTCAGGGCTACGGAGGGGTCATATGGGTAGGCTTGCCTACTCGACTCTTCCAGCGTTGCCTCCGTATTGCACTGCAGCGGAGCGTGGTGCGGCCCATTCCCCCCTGGGAGGAAAAAAAAAAAAAAAAAAACAAAGGGTCTGGGGAAGCACAATGTCTCAAAAGCTTTGGCGTGCCGTGTCGTCTTTGTCCTGACATTGCCCACGTGCTCTGTCTGCCACATAAGCAACCCTGCTTCTTCTTCTTCTTCTTCTTCTTCTTCTTCCTTTTTTTTTTTTTTTTTTTTTTTGAAGCAATCCAACACAGCAAAGCGGGCAGCGAGGCTGCTATCGTTTCGTTTTGTTTTGGTCGTCTTCCGCTTTCTTTGTCGTCTTTCGCTTCTTGGTCGTTTTCCGCTTTGCCGAGTCAAGCAAGTCACTAGCTGCCCCCCCTTTTTTTTTTTTTTTTCTTTTTTTTTTTTCTCGAAAGGAGGCTAGCCCCCTTAAGGGCCCTAACATTATTAATATATCTCTCTGGATGGGCCCTGACATTATTGTGAATCATCTAAGTTCATCAGGATTCGAGCTCAGGACCTGTTTGCTTACAGCTGCATGGTGGGGGTAGCATTCAGCTATGGTAGCTCTCCTTCTCCCGCGCGTACCTTGTTCTCCCTGTTCTTACCTGTCGCCCGCCTGAGGCTGTGGATGACACGCCGTCCCGTCGGGACTGCGTTGCCGGAATGACACGTGTGTCCTCTTGCTCTTTTTTTTTTTGTGTGTGTGTTATGATTCTGGTTGTTCGTTGCCTGATGGCCAACACTCACTCACATAAACTTCTGCACATGCCCATACACACACAGAAGGAAGGGGAGAGGATAGGAGTCTCACACCGCACAGGGAGAGATAAACACAGCGGAAGACTTGACCATGCGATATGACAGGGTACACTGAAAGTGCAATACACTCCCCTCAATCCTCACAACCAGTCATAGAGACAAGCGGAGCAGATCACATCCAGGAAACAATGATCATCCAGGAAACAATGAAACGATGATAGCCCAAACACAGTTACACACTGTTTATTAAACTCAGAGTCTCAAAATGTCAGGATCACTCCAGAACTACAGTGCGCTGCTCAGAGTTGAGCAGCGCTTCACTCTCCAACCCTGATTAACACCCGTAACACCCCCTGAGCCCTGAAACATCAAGCGCCACCCAAATACAGCCTCCTGGGGGCAGCGCCACCCTGAAACAGGCCTCTGAGGCCAAGCGCCACTCAGAGGATGAAGAAGAAGACCAGCGCCACAGTATCTGATGATGACGAAGTGTCGAGAGGCTTCCCGAGTGGAAGCCTGCAGCAGCGCCACCAAACCCTGGCTGGATGACCTCTGAGATGAAGATGCTGCAGCTATGGCTGCAACGCAACCCCCTGGGACCCC